GAGGTTCCCTGTTTATCCATCTATTCCATCAAATTACAGTTCTCATTTTCACCTGCTCCATGCCAGCATATCCCCGTCTAATCTATCAGCTATAATCTATCAGCCGGCGCTGATGGAGGCGGGAAACTCTAACACCCCAAATGAGGCGACCGACGCCACTCCTTTGCTTTCGAGGCGGCGAGCGGCGGACCGCAGCGGCGGCGATGGGCGGAGCACCTCTGGTTCTGCCACCGCTGTTCTTGTTTTTAGCACCTTCGTGGCAGTCTCAGGTTCCTACGTTTTTGGTTGTGCTGTAAGTTTCCCAAAACATAAATAATATCTGGGTTAGTTCCTTTTTGGCCTTAATTGTAGGATTGAGAATTATGTGCAGGTGGGATATTCGTCACCTTCTCAACCTGGCATTTTGGGTGATTTAGGGCTAACATTGGCACAGGTGAGTCTTCTTTGTGGGACTCTTGTTTTATTAATTAAATACCAGTTCACAAGTTTACTATACCTAGAAGAAAAAACTATTGTGTGGAGTAAATGGATTTTGAGAAGAGAAGCCTGTTAGTACTCTTAGAGAGCACTCACTTCACTAAATCTTATGTTGGATCATCACTATTTGTCTCAACTATGGAATGATAGATTGATCTAGAAAACATTTTCCCTACGATTATAATTTCCTCTGTGATCCACCGCACTTGCTTTGAAAAGAGCTCTACAACATCAACATCATCAACATACCCAGTATATTCCCAAACAGGTTGGGGTCTGGTGTAGGGGGTCAATTACCTTACCCTTGTAATTATACAAGGAGGCTGTTTCCATAGCAACTCAAGGTGCGTTGCGTCGTTTGATATATTTTTTTTTCTAGAAACTTCACTAATAGAAGAAGCACTAGAATTTAATTGAGCCATTTTGATCTAATCCATTATTTGCACGATGTCAGAAGAATTGTCAACATTGACTCTTCCAGCTCCATTTGCAATGGACTCTGCTTTGAAAAGAGCTCTATCTCCAAAAAATCAACATAAACATAAACAATCCACCCAGTGTGAAGAGAGTACAAATATATAAAAATCGTGTAAAAACATGTATAATTAGTGGAGGCCATATAACAAAGTTTTCTCTCTTAGACCTCTTTCACTATTAAATGATTGCGTGAGTGCATGCAATTTGGATTTACCACAATAGAAATAAATCACTTCTAATTTTACTGCCCTACGTACACACCACTTCTCTAGCCAACAGATAAACTTAAGAAGCCAACATTGGATCCCTCTAAGATTAATGGACACTTCTTGTAAGTGTTGTAAGAAAAACAAAAAACTCTAAATTCCTAACTTTTATTTCACAAGAATACTAACTGAAAGCTCGAACTAAAAACTCTGAAAATAGAATAAAAGCTCTAAACTATCATAGTACAATAAAAAGTTGCAGCATGATATTCAGATATCAATCGTGAAGATAATGATGAAGACCTATCGTGACAAATTTCTTAATTATCCGCCCCGGATCTTCATTCCTTGTATGAAAATATGTTTGCTAGCTCTTTAGTGTGGGCTATGATCTCCAAATCTCCAGATATGCCATCTTCCATAAATCCTGTAGGAACAAAACTTTCCATAAATAGCAATTCTTCAATCTTGACATCATCCTTCTTCATATCATGTTGGATCTTCTTTCCACAACTACCTTTCATATATTACCTGTAAGAACAAGGAAATAAATAAGTAATATCTAAGATAATTACGTAATAATTTGTATAAATAAATATCTGAGGAACTAATTAATGATGTCAATAATCCCTTTATTTTATTCTGTTTCCTTTAAACAAAATCTAACAAGAAAAACTGATAGTTTGTTCCAACAATGTCAAAACAAAATTCTAACAAAAACAACAACCCTTACACATTATGATATAATAATTTTCTAGCTGGATAATATTCAAATTACATAAGAGATGAGCCTGATCAGACAAATGGGCAGGACAGCCTACTCCAACTTACCAGAAGCGATGAGATAAATTCAATTCATATTTCAACCCAATCAATCAAAGGCAAAAATAGTTTTTCAGTTTTGACCTCTATTTTGTTTTAACCTCCAAAACGTCTGTTCTCTGTTTCGGTCCATAATCTGGAAAAAAAAAAATGGATTATTTGCTGAATTTTCAAAAAAATAAATAAAAATGTAATAATGATTATGATAAAAATATATTTTTAGTCTTGCTATTAGTTATGAACAATGAATATAAAATGGCGTCTTGACTACAGTCAAATTCATTTATCAAAGTGTATATAAATAGATAAACGATATGGCTGATCTCCTCAATGTACTTGTTATTGAAAGAATAATAGTAGCATTTGCCAGATAATGCATTGTAATTAAAAGCAATTTAGTTCTTGATTGAACTCTCTCATGCAGACGTTGCCCAACGAAGCCTCAGATAATGGACCGCATAATGCAATGTCCAGTTGTTAGTAATGTCTGCTTTTTTTTTTTTGTTATTAGTGTCTACTTAACCACCTATCTTTAGGCGATAAGAGTTTTTTATTTTATTTTATTTTTTTAATGTTTTTATTATATACACAATTATGTTGTTATCCTTGTAATGAATCTATATAATCACCCAATTCCATATTTATTGTTTGATAGAGGGACTAACTTAAAATGGGCTAAATCTTAAATAAATGGCATATAAAATGAAAATGCTAACCTTTAAGAATGCCACACTAGCATATTGGTGACGTATTCGGTTGTATCCTGTAAAAGGGACCAAAATCCTTTTTTATTTTTGAAACGAAATATAAATAAAAGTCTGGTTTTCTTGAGTATATTAATAAATTCTTAATTAATAAACAAAAGATTTTTAACTTGATGGAACAAGTCGTGTTGGCAAAATTAATGCGGAACAGATCAATTTGTAGAAGAATTTCCAAGTATAAAATTTGGGGGCTTCAAACCGTGTAAAAAAACATCATTGACATCAAGCTGCCACAATTCCCATACTTCTGTTGTTGCCATTGCTATAAACATTGTAACTGTTACTAGCAACAGGTGAAAAGACATCAAAATAGTCCAGTCCTCTTAATTACAGCCCGAGCTTTGTATCTCTCTACTTCTCCATTTGCTTTTCTTTTGATTTTGTACATCCACTTTGAACCAGTGGCCTTTTTACCTGGTGGGAAATAACACAACTACCAAGTCTGATCTTCCTCTAAGTCCTGCAACTCCTAATTAATGGCTGTCACCCATTTATCATCATTCTTTGCCTTATCATAGCTTAAAGGTTCCTGTTCTTCTGCCTTGCAAAGTATTGCTTCTCTATCACAGAGAGTGTTTCCTTTGAATCCAATTGAGCATTGCATATGTAATCCTTCATCCATACTGATTTAGTCCTTACCCTAACTCCCACATTTGGCTCAGATTGTATGGGAGCATGTGTTTTGTTCAAACTTGTACTTAGTGATTGAACTGTGGAATCTGTGCGCTGAGGTATTGGAGTGACTTACTTCTCCTCCATTCTCATGGAGGCTTTGTAAGGAAAGTTATCTGGGAAAAATACAGACACAATCTTTTTTTTTCTCCCCCATATCATACAAATCATACCCCTTGCATCCTACTACATAAACATTAAGTACACATTTGTATGACCTTGCAGTCAACTTACTTTTCATAGTAAATGTGTTCACTGAAGCATCGGTTTTAACCGATGATAATCTGGCACTTTATTGTAAACCCTTTTAAAAAGTGTCTTCCATCCTAAGGCAGAACTTTGAAGCCTATTAGTTATTATTTTGTAGGCAGCTATGAGAACTGCATAACATCACAACTTCAATGGCACTCCAGACTGAAACGAGAAACCTCTTGCTATCTCCAAAACTTACTTATGCTTTCTTCCCACCACCCATTTTGTTGTGGAGTGTGATAGTATAAGCACAACTCCGGTGAATTGCACCACTGTTTTAGAACAATTTCCGACACTGTGTTTTTATCATTTTCCGAAAATTCCTAATGAGCCCCACTGGTATTCCTTGACTTTTCATCAAGAAAATCCAAATTCCCCTACTGTAATCTGTAAAGAAATATGGAGTGATGGTAATAGCTTCTTCCCTGCATGGTCCCCATATATCTACATGCAACACCTCAAAAATTTCTTTAAACTGAAAGCTACTTATAGGAAATGGCCATTTGTGCTGTTTAGTCTTAATACAAACTTCGCAACTCCTCAGTTTTTATACATTTGATTCAGTGATCCCTTAGGTAGGACATATGTTGCAGAACACCAGCTGATGCATGACCTACGATTCTGATAGGAGTAAAGGATCAGATAATTAAAAAAGGGGAATGGACACACAAATTTATTATAAATGAAAAGAGGAGAACAATGACAGAAGTATAAAACTTCCCAGCAAGATGACTTGCCCAATAGCCTAGCTATTAAGATTATTTCTACCCGATGTCCCATCCTCACTTCCTAACTCCCTTCTATAAAAATATTATTATTTATATAAGGTAATAGGATAATAAATATATGGTAGGATAACTAATTGATAGCTTTCCATTCTCAAATGTCCAGGATCCCAAGAATCCATCTAAATCCCCTAATTCAGGCTTCCCATGTTTCATTTATTCCTTTCCAGCTTTTCTTTTCCTTGTAGAAGATCCATTGTTTTGCAACCTTTTTTTCTGCATCTCTATCATTACCACCCGCCAGAGAAATAGCCTTTTCCACAAGGCTAAAATTAGGAAAGTGCGCCTAGAAATATGAGAGATCCAACCACGTGGCGTCATCATTAATGCATCCCTCCCATTGGACTAATATTTGTGGTGTGGTACCAGCTGTGGTTAACTGACGAACTAATATGTCATATGGCTGGTAGCCGACCTCCTCCACTTGAAGTTCGTCCGGAATATCATGGATAACAGGATAGTGATCTTTCACCAGCTTAAGTTGTGAAATATGAAAGATCGGATGAACCTTTGAAGTAAAGGGAAGTTGCAGCTTGTAAGCAACCGCAATCAACTTTTGCAAAATCACGAAAGGACCATAGTATGGAGGGGCTAACTTTTGGTTCAATCTGTTGAGAAGAATGTTTTGCTTGTGAGGGTGAAGCTTGAGAACGACACTATCACCCACATTAAACTCAACGCCTCGTCTTATACGATTTGCAACTTGTGTCAGGCGATGTTGAGCTTTCTCCAAATATAAGGAGCCATATAGTTCGTCGAGCGTCTTATGGACAACTGGAATGAGGTATTTATCCGCAATTGTAACCTTGTTTAAATCACGGTAATCGATGCAAAAAGACCAGCTGCCATCTTTTTTATTCACGAGTAAAACCGGGCTGGAGAAAGGGTTGACACTAGGTTGAATGACTCTCGCTGCAAGCATTTCACCAATAAATCGTTCATTTTCGTCCTTGTGGGTGTGGCCATATCGACACAGCTTAACGCTGACCGGTGTTGTACCCGGTTGTAGAATAATCGTGTGGTCATTATGTCGAACCAGTGGCAGTTCATTTTCCAAATATTTGACAGAGTTAAAGGTTATTGGGGGGCGAGAAAGAGTTGGTCTCCCGTCAAAGTGATGCACTGCCTATGAACTTCGAATTCCATTGTCATTGTAGCCCAATTAGCACGGATTGTACCCAGAGATGCGAGCCAAGTAACCCCGAGAATTAAATCGACAGCACCCAAGGGAAAAGCAAAGCAATCAACTGTCATTGTAAGAGGCCCCAAGTGAACTGGAAGGTTGGAAAATTTACCCGAAGATTCGGCCTTGCGTCCGTCGCCCAAGTGAACACCAAAATGGGTTGTGGCCTCCAAAAGTTGTTTGAGCTCGACTGCTAAGTCGGATGAGATAAAATTATGGCTTGCTCCGCTGTCGATCATAATAACCACCTCATTGTGCTCCACACAGCCACGAAATTTCATTGTCTGGGGACGGCCGATACCTCCAATGGCAGAGAGGGGCAGGTCCAAAATGTGTAACGAGGCATCATCCATGGTATATACCCCAGGTGGGTCGTCGGTGTAAATGTTCTCATCCTCTGCTGCAATTAAAGCCTGTAGTGATTTATTTGGACAAACATGCATCGGGCTGTAGGGTTGTTTGCATCGGAAACAAAGTCCTTTCGCACGCAGGTCCTGGTATTCCTGGTTAGAGTAACGCCGAATACCCTTGTGAGAGAGTGAAGGAGCCGAATCTTGCTGGAAGGATATACCGGTACCTGGGGAAGGTGGCATAAGATTGTTTCCCTTCGTGGTTTTATGGAAATTGCTGGGCGTTGGAGTGGCAAGGTTTGTCAGATGATGTGTGCTTGGACTCAACAAGTTTGCATTGGCAGGCGTTGGGCTTGGAGTCCAACCCAGACCGAAACCCGTACTCCACCTCTTCACTCCTGCTGATTGAATAGCATGTTTGTCATGGTGCAGGAAATCGAGTTCGCGCGCAATGGAGCGAGCAACTCGCATAGCTGTCCGTAAATCAGTAGCATCGTTTGGGCGAAAACGAACACGGATCTCTTCCTTAAGCCCATTCAGAAACAACCCTAACTGGATATGAGAGGGTATCCCAGAGATATGGGCAGCCCGAACATGAAACTCATTGCAATATTCATCCATCGTACCAACTTGACGGAGAGCAGCTAACAACTCAATTGGTGGGGCAGACAAATCGCCACCAAATTGCTCCATTAGTTCAGATTTGAGTTGCGACCATGTCGGCATGGGATGTTGTTGTTGTAGCCATCTCATCCAATGAAGGGCAGGTCCTTCCATGCTAATAAAAGGAGTGGGAACTCGTAACTCGTCTCGCGTGCTGTGGATGGTAAAATATTGTTCAGCCCTAGACAACCAGCCAAGTGGGTCAGTTCCATCAAAATATGGGATCTCAGTTCGTTTGGTACCGAGGTGGACATCCTGTGGGTAGCGTGGTTTAGGGATGTTGATGTGATCGACTTGGGAGGTGTCGCTCCCTTCGCTGTTATGCTTGACTGACAAAAATTGGTTGACCAACTCCGTAAGTTTGGAGATGGCCTCCTCGACTTTATTGAGGCGTTGCTCGTGCACTTCCTGACCCTTCTCCGTGGCTTCGACTCGAGATTCCATGCGTGTCATTCGTAGTGGCAGGTCGGACCAATTGATAGGAGTAAAGGATCAGATAATTAAAAAAGGGGAATAGACACACAAATTTATTATAAATGAAAAGAGGAGAACAATGACAGAAGTATAAAACTTCCCAGCAAGATGACTTGCCCAATAGCCTAGCTATTAAGATTATTTCTACCCGATGTCCCATCCTCACTTCTTAACTCCCTTTTATAAAAATATTATTATTTATATAAGGTAATAGGATAATAAATATATGGTAGGATAACTAATTGATAGCTTTCCATTCTCAAATGTCCAGGATCCCAAGAATCCATCTAAATCCCCTAATTCAGGCTTCCCATGTTTCATTTATTCCTTTCCAGCTTTTCCTTTCCTTGTAGACGATCCATTGTTTTGCAACCTTTTTTTCTGCATCTCTATCAGATTCTATGCCACTCTTGCAGTGACATCCTGCAAAACAATCTTGTTTGTGCACTCTCCACCTCTTATGCAATATCATGTAAATTCCCTTGAAGCTTACCAAGTCCCACCATTTTGCAGTTTTATCACTTTCAAAGATGTGTGTCAATCCATGCTTTTCCATCTGTATCATCTTCATCATACATAGATAATGCATAGTACAGTCCCTCTTAGAGCTGTTAGAAAAAACGAGCCGCTCGTGAGCTCGGCTCGACTCGGCTCCATAAGGCTCGTTAACAAGCCAGGCTCGGCTCCATATTCATCTTCATTTCCTTCAAAATTCACAAAGTGCTCCTCCTCACGAGTCACTATTGCTCCCGTGATATCCTTACTTTCCTTTCCTAAAATATATGCCACTTCTTGTCGCTGAGATATCACTCGTTGAGTTGTATGCACTAACATTAGCCAGACTCAATACCTTGTTGTCATTCAACTCCTTAAACCAATTTGGACGCGAGCCCACAGTTGAAGTCTTAAGGGTTGCAGTCCTATCCATGCAACTTGAAGCATGTGGATTTTTCATGTCCATTTCATCCACAATTCTCACAGACCAGTTTATATTTTTTTTCCTTAGGCATCCTAGATCCTCCTCTTTCTCTACCTAATACATATTGTCCCTTTGATAGCTTCACAACCATTCCTCTTCTAAAGGTGTTGCTTCTGAAATCCATGGCCAAATTAGAAGGGAGATCTTATGTAGATGTTTTCATAAAATGTTGCCTCTCAACAGAAAGAATCATAGACTAACAAATTGTGGCATTTGACTTTTAACATGATCAAACTGTCATTCAATCCCATTAAAAACTGCATCAGTCTAGTTTGCATGTTAGGTTCATATTTGCAAACAAATTGTGGCACCAAGCAACTGTATTCATCTCACATATTCAATTTATTGAAATAGATCATCATAGAATCATATTCATTACCCTGCTTCAAAATTAGAAATCTCTCTCCAATTGATAAATCAATGGACCATTACTCTCACCGAACCTTTGGCGTATCTCTTCCCATAACTCTTTCACAGATTCGACATAGATAAAATCATCAACAATTTGAGAGAATTTAATATCCATGAGATTACCATCCAATCGACTTTCTTCCATTTCTCATATGTTTGATCTCCAATCTTCAATGGCTCAACAGATCCATCAATGAACCCTAATTTCGTCTTCGAGCCCAGTGATATCATCATCGATCTTTTCCATGCCAAAAAATTGCTCCAGTCAACGGATGCGAAACCAGATGATCCGATTCATGAAGAAACAAAGGATTGTCCTCTCGATTCTCTGCTCCTATGTTCCGGCCACACATCATTGTGTTGTCTATGAGACATTGAGTGTTTTGAAATTTTCAAGGGATTCAAGTGCTCGGGATACCATGAAGAAAATGAAGATGAATAAAATATTTGGAATTATATGTTGTGCAATTTGAAATCACCAAAGCTAAATGGCACGATTTGATTGCATTTATAATCAGCCAGGAACTTCGTACGCATGCATATGTATGTCATCTACTTCGAGTGGCATGCTATATTTCTACAAAATTTGTCCGTCGAGATGTCGTTTTGTCTAAAATGTTCACTCCCGGTAGAAAATATGGAGACCAACTGGAAAAGTAAATGTAAAGAAATAAACTCGAGTTGAAGGAGGGGGAAGAAACCAACTATGCGACAATCTTGGCATGTGTATAAATAGGTGGAATATTAGTTATGCAGTTTTTGTTAGCTCTAGCGTAAATAAAGGCTGGCTCAATTAGCGTAAATTATTGCTCAAACAATTCAATGGACATAAAGGCTGGCTCAAGACAGTTTTAGGTCCAAAGACGTCTTTTTCAACAAATCATATGCATAATCTTCTTCATATTCGGTTTTGTATTTCTTTTTATGGGGGGTGGTGGTGGTGGATGAAGCATACTATGGATATAAGCTACATTGTTCTCTACATATCCAAAGTTGAGAAAATTAGCGGATGAGTATTTGGTTACAAGTTAATGCCTTGTAGAGGATCTATCTGGAGTTTTTTTGTGAAAGTTACAGAGATTTGAGCCAAAGTAAATGCACAAAGTTATTTAAAAATTTAAAGGGAAGCCACTGGCAGTTTGGTATCAACTACAAGTATATAAGAAATTAGTAATGATTTTGTACACAAGTAACAGATCATACCAAGTAAAGAGTAACTTGTGATTTCGGAAATTCAGATTGTATGGGATATGCATATTTTAATGCAATTTTCTTCTTTGCAATGTGTTAGGGACAAGCTAGTATTCCCGTTCTTTCTACAGCCCTAAGATCTTGGTATAACAAGTCAAAAGAGTTCATCATCATATATGAGCATAAGGCTATCTCCATGGTTCAAATGATGAAAAAAACTGAACATGCCCTTGCATAGTTTAGTTGAAGTAATGACTTGATGCTAATCTCTTAAATTAATTTAAGGAAGGCATTGAATGCTTGAGAAGTTTATTTATTGGCAATTTTGACTAGGTGCTAATTATTGCCTTAACAAATGCAGATTATGCTTGTCATATGATATTTATGCAACTCATAGATAATTTTATGTAAAGTAAAGTTTTTTTTTTTTTTTGCATTTATTTCACTTGGATTCGACTTTGCAGTACTCGCTGTTTGGGTCAATATCAACAATTGGAGCTATGCTTGGAGCAGTAGTGAGTGGGAAGGTTGCAGATTTCCTAGGAAGGAGAGGAGTAATAAATTTGTTCCCCCATGCTGCTTAAATTTTGTCCTTCCAAGATCTCAAAATTTATCATACCTTTGCCTCTTTGTTGTTATTACGAGAGAATTGATCAAATACTGCAGGCTATGGCGTTTGCCGAATTATTCAACATTATTGGGTGGATAGCAATAGCCTTTGCTAAGGTATTTTAATCCAGAGTTTTTGCTCATGCATTTGTTTGAGTGAAATTGTCAGACCTCAGACTCAATTTTGCATATTTGTGCAATTCGGTCAAGTGATGTAATTCAGTTACAATATCAGAAAGTAAATGGAACGATGACAGCAGTCGACTTATTTTACTGAGCTACAAGCAAAAGATACTCGCAACATTTGATTCTGCTTTGGCTTATTGTCTATCAACACAGAATGTTTGGTGGCTTGATATCGGGAGGCTGTCAACTGGGTTCGGGATCGGAATTATTTCCTACGTGGTACATACAGTATGAACTTCATTTTGTTCTCTTTTATTGTAATGTTATAAATTTTTTAGCCTGGCACATAGGTACCGGTATATATTGCAGAAATCACGCCTAAGAATCTCCGAGGAGCATTCACAGCAGCCAATCAGGTAACTTGAAATGTCGCTCTTTGGTCTCCAGAAAGCAAGTAAATCTTATACTGATATCAAGTGCTTCTGATGAATGGTGATGCTTTAGTTGATGATATGTTGTGGGGCTTCCGTAATGTATCTTGTTGGTAACATCATCTCTTGGCGCCTCTTGGCTTTAATAGGTAAATTTGGTTTCCAATGGACACCGTATTTTGCTATAATTATGTTCGATTTTATGAATAAACTGGCCATTGGCTTCATTTCAGGAGTTATTCCTTGTCTGATACAGCTTCTGGGCCTTTTCGTCATTCCAGAATCTCCTAGATGGTTGGTAAGCTCAAAAACCTCTTTTCAAATGTTTTTGGATCTTACAAGATGTATGATGTTACTTGAAAATAATAAGATAGTTAATGAATAATTTTTCCTTCTTTCTTTCTTTCTTTATTTGGGAAAAAGAAGTAAGTGAGATCTGTACTTCTTTGAAAGCAGCTAAGGTTCTTAGAAGATTATGCCAAAAAGAACTGATCAGAATAACTTGAAGCTTTAGTGGTTCTCAACAGCTTATAAGACGTATAAGACGTTCTGAAGGATTTATAAGCTTGACCAAATGGATACTCTTTTTCTTTGGCTTGCACAGGCTAAGATTGGTAAGTGGGAAGGGACTGAGGCGTCTCTAGTATGCCTTAGGGGGAAGGATGCAGACATATTTGAAGAAGCAAGAGAAATTAGAGTAATGGATTTGTTCCTTCTAATGTTTAAGTAGTTTTTCTTTCGTTTTTTT